TGGCAATGCCCAGTTCCAATATCTAAGACAAAGAGGAAGGTTTTGTTTCTGTTCCTCAGACACTGCACCTTGTTGTTCCCACACTAATGAGGAAAACCCAAAAGTCAGGACTTGGAGTTGCTAGTGTTAGTGCACGTTATGCTATAGCTATACAGTGCAAATCTGCAAGTAGTCAGTACATTTACATTGCACAGATCACACTAGCGGCCCTCCTCTGGTGAAACTAATCCAGCTCAAATAGGGGTTTAGTTAAGATATGACAGTTAATTGTACTGCATACGAGTTTTGCTATTCTGAAGGTGAAATTTTTGATCCTCAGTCTCTCAAAACTGCACTGAATGCAAATAGAACGGTAACACTTTCTATGAATGTCACCTTTGTAAGCATCTATAAACACATTCATAACATGTTATAATGCATTCATAAGACATTATAAACATAGGTATAAATATTTATAAAAATGCATTATACATTATAGCCATGTTTATTATGCATTATGAATTGTTACATAATATATTATAAGTACTGATCATAACAAATTATAAGTGCTCATAAGTGGTATTTGTCCGCTCTAAGTAAAGTGAAGCGTACTGTACTAAAGCCTCCTCCAGTGTTCAGAGTGAGGCTTCAAGTTGAAGTATTTACTGAAGGATTTACTGAAACACTAAAACATTCACAGTAAAGCACATTACAGGCTTCAAATGTCAGAGTTTAAACTAGAGCTGCCATCAGTGTTTTACCCAATGTGGGAAAGGTAATGTTCACCACCGTTAGCTTGGTATTTGTCTTTACTTTACGCTCTCCAAGCTGGGACTGACTTCTTTGGCACTGACATTATAACATGTTATTAACACTGTTTATAATGCATTATATAAACAATTCATAATGTATAATAAACATGGCTATAAAGTGTAATTCAGTGTAATTCTTTTTTATAAATATTTAGAACCATGTTTATAATGCCTTATGAATACATTATAACGTTATAAATGTGTTTATAGATGCTTACAAATGCGACATTCATAGAAAGTGTTACCAATAGAACCTTATAATTTGACTAGATGTGAATGAGAACTATTCCTTCACGCTAACACAGACGCTCAAAGAGGCTCTTACCTCTGAGAGGCAGTCCCCATGTCATTCCCTATGCGAACCCACCCAGTGTGTTTCTCTTTTCCTTTTTTGACAGAACAGCTCAGCAGGCGACCCCTCACTACTTTCATCAACATACAATCAGCACCAAGTCTGAGAGAGCAGCTGCCACTGTGCATTAGACAATGAAAAAGTCAAGAGCCCCAGCATTTAGCACTTTACTGCGAGTGTTAATGGTGGAAAAACAGAGTCAAGGGCTTTGCTGCGACTTCGTTACGCCGCAGTGACTGATTGCTCTTTTATTCTGGCTTTACAGTGCGGCAATATGAGTGGAACAGTAAGACCTCTGTGAAAATGAACATGACTGTGACAACTTTGAAAGGTCTGTATAGTATAGAGTCATACATTAAAACATCTGTAGCATGTTCAGTACTTAATCACTGCAATTAGTAATTAAAGTCATTATGTCTTATAGGAGAATGAAAAATGTCAGTGGAATTAGTTGTCAAAGAATGCAATGTTTCATTATATATATATATATATATATATATATATATATATATATATATATATATATATATATATATATATATAAACACACACACACACACCCCTACCAACCACTTTGTTAAATACACCTCCTTGTTTCTACACTCTTTGTCCATGTTATCAGACTGTTTCTCTGCATACTTTGTTAGCCCCCTTTCACCCTGTTCTTCAGTGATCTGGACCCCCAAAAGACCACCACAGAGCAGGTACTATTTGGGTGGTGGATCATTCTCAGCACTGCAGTAACACTGACGTGGTGGTGGTGTGTTAGTGTGTGTTGTGCTGGTCTGAGTGGATCAGACACAGCAGTGCTGCTGGAGTTTTCAAATTCTGTGTCCACTCACTGTCCACTCTATTAGACACTCCTACCTTGTGGATTCACCTTACAGATTGTGTTGGTCATCCTACAGGACACTGTTGGCTGGATATTTTTGGTTGATGGGCTATTCTCAGTCCAGCAGTGACACTGAGGATGTTTAAGGACTCCAGCAGCACTGCTGTGTCTGATGGTCCTGACCATTGAAGAACAGAGTAACAAAGTATGCAGAGAAACAGATGGACAATAGTCTGTAACTGTAGGACTAAAAAGTGCTCCTATATGGTGAGTGGAGTGGAATACACACACACACACACACACGTATATATATATATATATATATATATATATATATATATATATATAGATACATACATATATATATATATATATATATGAAAAGATAAAGTTGATATTGCCATTGATATTATGAGTTATTATTGAGTTGTTAATACTTCTGTGTGATACATTAAAATAATGTTCTTTCCTGACGCTGAAGAATGAATATCTTTCTTCATCTCCTATGCCTCAATCTCTGTCCAAGTAAGTACGAGTCTGATTATTCATCGTGGGTGGGGAGCCTGTGGATTCCCCCATCCCCAAACCTCCCACGCTCAAGGTTAATTCAGGCCACGAAACAACATCGAGCTCTGTTCTCAGCTTCTTACAGCCAGTCCCAGAACAAACTGCAGTCTCCTGCCCCTCTGAGCTACGGCTGATTAAAGCTGATCCCAGAACAGTCTACGGTTTTCAGCAAAGCCAACGGCAAATAAATGTGTCAGTCCTGCCAGCGTCAGACTATTCCTCGATGTTGTGGAAAAGGCTTGAACATATAACTGCTTAGAGGCGGTAAAATCGTCATCTAATAGGCGGCTGTTATTTTACTTGCTAATAGACAGTAGATACAGACTTGTACTTTATATTCATTTATATTCATTTATTATAATAAATCTCACTGGCATGTTAGGTGAGATGTATCGCTTGACAGCAAATATAAATTTGCCTGCAAGACATTCACACTTATTAAGATCATTTTTGCATATTATGTTGTGTTCCTGAAGCCCTACAGGGATTTCATGATTAATCACTCCTGATATGTTCATGTCATGTATTTGTATGAGACTGTGCTGACCTCTAGTGGTGAAGTACAACTGACATCCCACAAAAAAAGCTGAACTTGAGATTAGTCTGCTGGCAATGTGCTCAAAACTGAAGCATATACTTGTAATATTCATATCTAAGGGGCTAATAAAGAGAATCAGTGTAACTAAAAAGGTGAACTTTATTCGACAAAGTGCACAACTGTAGGAAAAAAAACAACAAAGTCATCGTCTGTATCATTAGAGAAAGTAAAATATTGTAGCTTAACTTAAAATAGTTATTTAAAATATCGAAAATTGAAAGTGCTTCATATCCTGAACCTCCCAGAATCATTCCTGCAGCTCGAGACTGTGCTGGTGTAGGGCTGTCACTATTGATTATATCTATAATCAAGTAATCTACTTAGACAATTAATCAAATAATTAGAGTTTTAACTCTGGCCAAACAATAGAAACAGACTTAACTAAACAATAACAAACCATTGATCGCCAAAACTATTTAATGGAAAATACAAACTATAAACTATACAAATTATACATTCAGTATACAATATGCAACAAGCTAAACTATTTTTCAATCAAGTTTAAGGGTTAACCATGACAGCCCTACACCGTTCTAGTCCGTATATTCACAGTGCCTTGTAAAACTCATCAGAAGTCACCAAATTCATCTGGATTACGATTATTGTGCTGTCAGATTTTAATTTTTAAAAGACTGACCCCTCAAAAAGTAATATTGGTTTTATGTAATATTCTGTGATAAAACTTACTAACTGAGAAATGCTGTTTGCATTCAGCCCCAGTGCTGTGGAAGCTCCACGTTTAACCAGATGAAAGATATTGCCCGACACAACTGGATCACAATTGGCCTCCACTAGTAAATCATTGCCAAAAAAAAATTGCCTTTTCTGTATAAAAGTCTCTTTTGGCCAAAATTCAAAATGCTATGTACTGCACAAACTTAACACTGTCCATTCCTCAACAAACACCATCCCAACAGTGAAGTATGGGGGTGGCAGCATTAGGTTATGAGGATGTTTTTACTCAGCAGGAACTGGGAATCTTGTTAAATTTGAAGGGTGAATGAATGGAATATACAGGGTTATACTGCAAGACTTCTGTCAGCTAAAAAACTAAAGATAGTAAGAAACTTTCAGGACAGTGACCACAAGCATAAACCAAAGCAACACAGGAGTGGATGAACAACAAGAAAGTCAATGTTTCACTGTGACAGTCAGATCTCAATCCAATCCAGAATCTGTGGCAAGTAGTGTTGTAGTACTCAGGGCTGGTCTTGGTCTCGAGACCACGAACTAGCAGTCTCTGTCTCATGTCTGTCTCGACCTCATGGGACTCAGCCTTGTCTCGGTCTCGGGGTAAGGTGGACTCGCCAAGTCTGGCCACGTTTGAGGTAACTAGAAGCTGAATTATTATTAAATATCAATAAAACCAGAATAAACAGTGCTTTCTCTGTGTACTAAACTCTCAACTCTGCACCGCCAGGATACAGACAGAAGCAGCAGGTGAGGAAAAACAAACAAGTAATAACAAAGACAACTTTCTTTATTCTAACACCTGTTGTGCTCGAATGACATGGTAACTAATTGTTTGTTTCAGTTATTTATAACTGTTAGTAGCAGAAGTTATTTGTACAGCTAAGAGCTGTAGTTTACTGTTCATATTACACTGTTTACAAATCTGTTAATTAATCTTTTGCTGTATTTTTAAGTGTTTTTTCTCTATTTTATGTGGCCGTTTAATATCATTAACTTCTCCCTACAACAGTCGTTGTTACTGTAATACGTAACAGACAATGTAGTAATGTTTTAGGCTGTATATTTATAGTTATATTTTACAAAATATATGACATAATGTTATGTATTAGTATATATAATGTACAAGTAATGATAATAAATGTAGAATAAACTACAAACAAATTTTAGTGTTCTTTAAAAAAACCCTTATCTGGTCTCGGTCTCGACATGGACTCGACTACAAAGCGCCTTGGTTATGACTCGGACTCGATGTGTCCTGGACCTCAGTCTCGACTCGGATTCAGACCTATGACCTTAATATTGGTGGTAAGTGCCTTCCAGCCAACCTGAACAGCCTGCAAAAATGAAAACCCTGCCAGGGTTGGGTAAAAAAAAATCACTTTTGAAAAACTGTGTGCAAAGCTATGGAGCCCCTTAGGGGCCGTGGTTAAAAAAAAAAAAAAAGTTACTGACATTGAAAAAGATATGCTCGTCAGACAGCGAGCAAACGTAGGACCAGAGGTGCCCAACGACATCGCCTACATTAGAGCTTTGTTTTCAGCATAGCTAAGGTTAAAAGCTGTTTTCCCAGTTTTGTCAGTCTGAGCTGAGTTTATTCAGCAGTTGTTCTCTGCAGTGTCTGTAAATGTAGCTTTTACTGTACGAGGAAACTCGACCTCAGTCTCAGTTTGAGTCACTAACAGCAGAATCATGTTTGATTTTGAGAAGCGACACTATGTCTTTATATTTCAATCCAAGATCAACGTAAAATTCAATGAGCTGCTTCATGTCTGAGCTTAAGCAAAGCACAGCTTTTGCAAGCGAACGCAAACTGTTTGCATCGTAATACAAAACCTTTGGGAGGGAACGCAAAGTCATTAACTTTTTTTTTTTTACGGCCCCTCAGGGGCTCCGTACAAAGCTGATGAAAACTTTAAGGGTTAAATACTTGCAAAAATACAAGCAGCATTTTTCAGTTTTTTTTTAAAGATATGCTAACAAATAATGTGAAATAAATAGTGAAATGAAATTTAGGAGCATATTTGTTTGCAATACAGCCCGGAACAAGTGTCATATATCCACCCACACAAATCTGATGACTTCTGAGAGGGTTGAATACTTTTACAAGGCACTCTATATACTCCATTCCCAGTGAAGTGTATCTTGCCAACCATCTGCCAACATACTCACCCTTCATTTCCTTGCCTTTCAAAGCCTGTGCATGGCCGCCTCTGGCTTTGGGGAAAGCAAATATTAGAGGATGGATTTTGGCAGTTTGCTAATCAGATAAAAAGCTAGTCCCTGACCGCTCATATGAGGCGAGTGAGAACGGATGTCAACTCTGTTCTTTTCCTTGGTCCCTCAGGATTTTGCTGTAACCAGCTGCTCGCTGAGTGAACTCTCCATCGATGACTGTGTCTCATCATCATGCACTTTGTCAAAGTGTCTGCGGATGTGAAATTGCGTCTCGCGCAGAATCCTGCTCCGGGGTAAAAGTGCAGTATACCAAGTGTCACTCTCTGGACCAGCCAAGATAGAGTCATACAGATAGAAGTGGCTGTAATGTTCCTATAATAAAAAAAACTGTGAAATTTTCCCCCTGATTTAGCTTGTCCACAGGTGGACTAGCGAACCATAAAAGTGGCTTTTTTCTGTGAAAAAGAAAATTGGCTGCCAGGCAATTCTGGTAATTCTCACATTCGGCAGAGTGGTCGCTACGACTGTGTCCACAGAAAGGCTGGGTCACCGAGAACCTGGGCCAGTCTTTGGTTAAAGGGTCCATAGAAGCTCTGCAGGATCTCCCTTGTTACGGGCAGCATGGGGCCCAGATTTCGATTGGCCGGCCTCCTGGTGTTGGACGCTGGGCTTTTAGTGATGTCTGCTTCCTTCTGCTGGGTGAGCGGTCCTGCAGAGTCAAAGATAACATGACACCATTGAGACGTTAAGCCAAAATTCGGTCAGACTTTTCTTTTTCTAAGAAAGACATCTGGGGATGCTTTGCCTTTTTCTGAAATTGTTCAAGTAATGTCTGGATACAAGTAATGTTATATTTGTTAACATGAAACAGCTTTTTGCTAATACAGTGTGATTCAAAATTATTCATCCGATTTCAAAGCGCCATATTTTTACATCTATGAAGCACCTAGGAACCAATCACAATCCAACTGAAAGAGGGGGTCCTAGAGCAGAGTTTCTGACTGTCAGTGGAAGATGGCTCCCTTCAGTCTGAGAGGAGATGGAGACCCCTGAGCAGAAAGCGTTCTCCACTTCAATGAGAGTGAATCCGCCATAACTGTGCAGCAAGATTTTCGTGGGCAGTGAAGCTCCAACAGCTCAGAGCGTTCGGCGTTGGTTCCACAACACTGGATGATCTCCGAAATCACACAGAGAGCCGTGAGTGCAGCGACACCCGACATGCTCAATCCAGTATGGGATGAGTTTGACTATGGCGTTGATGTTGTCTGTACAGCTGGAGGAGGTTCATACTGAGACCTTGTACAATTACATAATAAACTTTAAGCTCATTTAAACCATTTACAGTTCACTGCATTGATCTGTAACGATTTACAAGAGAAATAAATCATTTTAAAATCAGATTTTTGAATCACCCTGTACTTTGGTTTAATGAGTTCATGCTTCAACACGCAGCTGCATGTTCTTTAAAAGTTTCTTCCTTGGTTTGTGGAGCAGATTTTACTTAAATAATGCTTTGACAGTTTTCTTCTGTTGTTAAAAGTATACATTAAAGTTAAACAGCAGCACTGTACTTGAATTTTTATACATAACATTGACCAAACCATCTGTCTGATGTTATGACAGCTCATGTCACATACAAATTTTTGCTGTCTACTCTAGTTAGCCACCATGACAATGGCAACATGACACTATTATTATTGCTGGACAAAATCTGTCATGACAACAAATGCTTGGATATGACATCTGTTTACGGCATGTTTATGTAAGAGTTATGAAAGAGGATTCAAGTAAAGTGTTAACAAAAACGGTTTATTGTATTAAATACATTTTAAAAGGCTGAGTATTACCAAACTTTTGACATGTGTACAAGGGTTTTAGTCAGAGATTACTAGCATGGTTAACCTGTGTTCTGCAAGAACTTTTGTATTTTCTATGATATAGCATGCCTCACTAGACTCATCAGCTAGTTATGAAGCTCTTCACGAGCGAGGTCAGGGGTGTTAGTGTAAAGGAAACATAAGGAGAATGAGAATGAGGTTTCCACAGGTCACTGAACAGTTTTATCTGAGAAAGTGTAAGAAACAAACCTAATTGCAGGAAGTCAAAGACTTTGTGCATGGTGTGTTTCCTACTGGCGGCGTGATCCTCCAGTCGCAGAACTAGAATCTGGTCTCGGCCAAAGACGCTCAGCCAGTCGAGCAGATAGACCGCGTACAGCCCCACCTGCAGTCTCACCTGCACAAAAACACAGATAGAACTGCAAGAACTGCAACAAAACTGCAACATCAGGCACTCTGTCTCTCTAAAACTGCTGAAGCAGAATCAGCTCCCTCCCTCAGCCTTGATTAAAGTGTACCTACTTTTCTCAGGACAAGAATGTTTTTTTTTCGTTGCTGGAACATTGTGGATACGTATTTTGTACATGTTTAAACTGAGATCCTGTTAAGAAATTGCGGATTAAGCTTTAGAAATGTAGAACCGTTACTGTCTTCGTGCTACACTGTTAGAAATAAAGGTTCTATTCAGGTACATTTTTCGTTCATCAACATACAAACAGTGTAAATGTTCCCTCAAAGCTCCAACAGTGGTTTTAAGGTCTGATTGTGACCCTTAAATAAGTTTTTCCAGGTGAAAAGTTCGTATTTGTACCTTTTCATAACCGAATGTTTTAAACAGAACAGTAAAATAAAAGCCTGGAGACGAGACGGGGTGTGTGGAGTCAGTACAGCTTAGAACATATCATTTCAGTGGATTATGGTTCAGTTATGTTCCCTGACTAAAGGTACTGAGATGGACCCTTGAGGGTACCAACCCAGTGTCAGGAGGGGAACTGCCCCAGTGACAGTTTACCACCTTTATTTCTGAGAGTGAATGCATAAATAAAGTTGCATAATGAATTCAATTTACATTCTGTCTGCACTTCTGCTTGTTGTATGTAAAATATTAACATTTTATCAAAGTCAAATAGTCTTTTTCTACCCATGATGTCAAATGTGGTCTAAACTAAAAGTGTAGAATTTGCACTTTTAATAGAATTTCTCCACTTGTTTCAATGAGGTACAAGTGATGCCTGGATCAGATCAGGACATCCGTACCTCAAAGGGGTAAAGGCTTATTACATACTAAGCTTTATTATTAAGTAACTACAGGGACTGCAATCCAAACTGGCTGTGCTATTCTTAGGTTATAGAAGTGTGTTATCAATCTTTGGGCCCTGGTCATTTAAGGGGTTGAAGACTAAAGTGGTATGTCATATACTAATGCTCAGTTTATATTCTTTCAGCAATGTAGGACAATCTCATAGCCCAATGTATAAAAGGTGTGATTTAATGTGAAATATATGGACGGACATCAATGCAACATATGTGATGTTGATGATGAGAAAATCTGAAACAGATAAATCTGCAAAAGCATGTCGCTGTTGTCAGAAGAAAACCTTGTATCTCCAGAATGGTAACTTTACAGGAGAAGGAAAAACCTACTTGACTTTCAATGTAAGTCAATGGAACCAGACTTTTCTCTAAGTCATTTTTGGTCATTTCTTTTAGTCCATTCATCTTGAAATTTACATACAATGTAAAGGGCAACAGGTATTTTCAAATTATGTCTAAAACTGAAAAATGTCAAAAATGGAGATATGAGGTTTTCTTCCAACAACAGCGATATATCTCTCCATCATGAATGGATTTTGGAAAAAAATCAGCAAATAAACAGTAATGTATTCAAATGTGCAGAAGTGTGTTCTCTATAGAGGGTGTGTTACCCTTTTTTACTTAGAAAATCAACAAAATATGTCATTTGACCAGGGGCGCCCAACCTTTTGCAAATAACTATAACTATGCCTTGTTTGATTTTATGACACAAATCACTGTCTATCATTGGATCACACTAAGATACTGACTGACCAGTAGAGGGACCTGAGAACTCATATATGAGAACACACTGAATTCAGATAGAGGTTCAGTCAACTACACCATCAAACGTCATCGTGATTGCAAAAGTGAATACTAGGCTATGTTCACATTACCAGCCTGAAGTGGCACAAATCTGATTTTTTGCCCTAATGTGACTCAGATGCTTTCAGGGCTGTGTGGACACAAATCTGATCATTTCAAATCCGACCTGGGTCACTTTCATATGTGGTCCTAGATAGGATACGTATCTTATTTATGGCCATGTGACCTTAATGTGAACATTTAGATTTTTTTTCCACTGCGCCATCATTCAGCGTTACCATGGCAGCAGCGCCGAACAGAAGTTAAAGCCTGTAAACGGTGGAAAAGCAGCTCATCTCACCTTTTTCTCCTTCGTCTCGCTCTAATAATGAAGCTGGGAGCTGATCAGAGTTAATTATCTTCTCAGCGAAGCTCGTTCTGCTCGTTAGTTTGTGCTCATGCGGGTCGTTTCAGGACGCTGGTTCGTTCACATTAATGACAGATTTGAGTCACTTACCTAAACGAGTGTGAACCATCATGTCAGAGAGATCGGATTTGAGCAAAAAATCCAATTTGAGCAACGAGGCTTGTAATGTGAACGTAGCTCTAGTGATGTGGGTCTGTTTGGTAGGGCTAATCAGTGTTAGCTTGACATTAGCTTAAGCTAATGTGAGCCCTGGTAACACTGGCGTTCAACTAACTGCATTTACTGTCTAGCTGTTTATTCTCGCTATTCAAAGATTTCTCTATCGCTGGCTCTGCTCTTCAGCCTCTTTCCCCTCACACTATACAACACTATACAACTTCTTACTTTGCCACAAACAGAAAATGGACACTTTTAAAATCACATTTGACCGACAGCTGATTTGGTCAGACTCTTAAGATGAGACGACACTCAATTCCCAAACTGTCATCACCACTGAGCAGCTTTTCAGTCAGCAGCTGTGACAGAAGAACAGCTAAATAACCTGGAATCAGCCAGAAATGAACCCAACACCATTCGCCAAACTAAATGGGCTGTAAGATGCTTTACAGACTGGCTGGAACAAAACAACATTAATACTGATCTGGCAAAAAATGACAAAACTGAGCTGAACTTGATATTGCGTCAGTTTTATGGCTCAGTCTGATTTGGTCAGACTCTGAAGATCAGACTACACGTTTGGCGAATGGTGTTGGGTTCATTTCTGGCTGATTCCAGGTTGTTTAGCTGTTCTTCTGTCACAGCTGCCGACTGAAAAGCTGCTCAGTAGTGATGACAGTTTGGGAATTTAGTGTAAGGAGCTGGAGAACGAACTGCCGGCTGTGCAGCGAGTGGGTGGAGCTCGTTACTCTGACGTAGCAACAAGCTGCTCGTTAAGGAACTATAATCTGGTGAAGGAACTGCGAACATTAAAACATATTAAACGCCGCTTTCACGGCCCAGTTTATTAATTTATTACTTTATTTATTTAACTGTTGTATAAAAGCAATAGAACACTCGAGGAGTGTGTTATTCGCGATAACACACTCCCTCTCGTGTTCTGTTAAATATCACGTAGCCGGGACGCTATAGAAGCTTACACTATTGTGGTTTTTGTTGCTGTTACACACCGTGGCTATATTTTATGAGTGCTAAAGTCACTGAATACTACCTATATATACTCTGGCTTTCAAATCTCTATTTTAATGGAAATGTTCATGGCAGACATTAGACCTTGAATCTAAACCCAAAAGCTCAGGTACCTCCTTTATATCTCATGCAGGGATTACAGTGGAAGAGGTTTAGCCTGCGATAAAGCCATATTTTTCCCAGAAAGAACAACTGAATAACTTTAATTCCTTGAACCAAGAATTGAGCGTGAATAATCCTTGGTGTAGCCCCCCAGCACTCACAGCTGTTTCTCCCCCAGATGGAAGCTCCTGATCTGAGGAAAAACCAGCACAATTCATTCACCCTGCAGAAATAGCTAATCTACCATCCTGCACCTGGTAACTCTGTACATAGATATACAGACATCTCACAGCAGTCTGGCTTAAGCTGAGTCATACCAGGCCTGAGGAGAGTGTAGCTAAAGCTACTGTCGTGCTCAGTACTAAACAGTAAAGAATAATGCTTTACTGAGGATCTGAGCTCATATTTATCTTTTTGTTTTTTGATCAGTTCTTTAGATTGTTATTAAAGGAATAGTTGGTGATAAATTAAATCTACACTATTTTTTTTGCACTGGAGCCACAAGGCTAATTCAGCATCATCCACACTGCATAATTCAGCATCATCCACACTGCATGCCTAAATCATCACACCTTTGCCTCAGACAGTATGGAGCCCGGTAGGGGTCACTAATATAAAGTTTAGGAGGAAAATCTGTCCCCGCTGTTTAGTAACCCGTACTCTCAGTTTATAAACTGTCCCAATGGATTTGTAAACTGTACTGTACTGAAATGACGCTCATGCACCTGATTCCAACGTCGATTGTTCATTCTACACATGATTCTGTGCACACAGTGTAATATATCAATTCATATTAGTAAATAAGCTACAACTGCTCCACTCTGTGAGGCCACAAACTAAAGTTATAACATGATTTAAATTAGGTGAACTATATTTCACATTCATTTTCTCAGTCATCCTTTTAACAACGTAAATGAAACCTTTGGTTCGGGAAAGAAACACTGCACCAAAATGAATGAGTTGCATACTCACAGGCATGGCATTGTTGAGGGTAGTGTTGTAGACACAGGATCGCACGGATCTCTCAGCCAGACAGACCTCAAACAGCTGCAAGGACTCAGAGACGCGCTCATGGAAGTCCTCCACTGTCTTGTTCGCCATGCCGAAGTACAGATAGTCTGAATAAAGCCTACACATACACATATGCATGAAAACAGACACAAGAAAAAGGCAGTTTTTTATAGTCTGACTTACAAAACGTTAATAACAGACATTCACGCACAAAGAATCTGGAGTCAGAGCATGTGGGTAGAAGAAACATCAGGCTTTAATCATTAGGTCAAATGCATTTATCAGCAAATTCTTGGTTCAGAGGGTTTTGTGTTGTGTAATGAGCTAATCACAAAATAGATAACTGTACAATTTGTCATTACATAAGCAGCCCTGTAATAAGCCAGACATTTATAATTTGTTGCAGGGCTGAATCTAGGGTGAATGTTTTTTAAAAGAGAAATCTACAATCCCATTTCCAAAAAAGTTGGGACGCTGTGTAAAAAGTAAATAAAAACAAAATGCAATGATGCGCAAATCATTTAAACCCTATATTTAATTGAAAATAGTTCAAAGACAACATATCTGTGGCATACGCCCCCCCCCCACCCCCAAACTGCTGAGCAGTTCAAATCCTATATCAAGCAAGAACAGGAAAACATTTCACTTTCTAAACTACAGCAGTGTCTCCTCAGTTCCCAAACACTTACAGAGTGTTGTTAAAAGAAGAGGTGATGAAACACAGTGGTAAACAGGCCCCCGTCCAAACTTTTTTGGAACGTGTTGTTGGCATCAAATTCAAAATGGGCATATATTTTTCAAAAAACAATAAAATTTCTCAGTTTCAACATTTGATATGTTGTCTTCGTAGTATTTTCTTTTTAAAAATATGGTTTACATGATTTGCACATCATTGCATTCTACTTTTATTTACATTCTGCACAGCGTCCCAACTTTTTTGTAAATGGGGTTGTTTTTGGGGATGCACTGAAATTTCAGTCATTTACCATTTTTGATGCTTTTTATTTTCTATTAAAAAAGAAAAAAAAGTTGGAAATTGTGGGCAAAAAATATAATATTGAATAACTCGACATTGTTAATACATTATTTCATCCCTCATTTTGAAAGTCTGTTAAATCCTGCTGGGGTTCTTGGCTGATTCTACTCTTAAACTGATGCACACTAAAGCAAACAGTGACCTGATAACTCCCAGCTGGAGAAACTCCAGACTGTTAGATGTGAGCAGTGAGTTCACATGCTTTGCATATTACAGAACACATGTTTACACAAAAACACATTAATGTCTTTCATTAATGCGAGTGGCTCTGGAATTCAGCTTTAGATGTCTGTGGGAAACCATGAAGCATTGTACTTTCACAATTCTACAACTCATCTGAACCATCAGGACACTTAAGCTGAATGGAAAATGCTTAGAATTTTGTTATGTTGTATCTGGAAAACCCAGCAGATCAAGTGGAAAATGTAGTCTACTGCAGCCTAACAGCTTACTGATGCCCCATAATAATCCATTGTTTCAACAGTATAAGTAAACAAAACATACTATGTGCATATTTAATTTTATTCAGCAAGCTGTTTAAAATTAAATCAGTTCTCTCTACATTTCTGTCAGTTCTCTTGTCAACTTGATATCATCTCTGAAGCATCATCAGCATCATTACTGTAATCCAAAGGCATAAACTGAACAGCAAATTTAAATATATGTATTTTTTCTGGTGTGTACAGAATTTCGGCTTCCATTGTGATCAAGAATTTCGGTGCGTCGCTAAATCTATTAGATAGGTGTATTACCTTTCTACAGGATCTCTGAGCATCACTATGAACTTGGCATCTGGCTGGACTGCATGGATAAAGTCCTGCACCAAACAAGGAGGCTCCATCCCTGTTCCGTTGTCATAGAAGTAAACCCACGCGTTGTTGTCCCACATAGTGGACGCGCTGGCCTCACCTGTCAATTAAACACAGTTATCAATATATGGACCCCCCCCTTTAGTGTCCATTAAAACGTGCCTGTTAAGTGTCTTATCACTGACAGAAGTGTTTAATTTCACTTGATCTGAGTCAATGAAGATCGTAAGAAGCTAAAGACTTCCACAGATTGTCTTTGAGAGGAACCGTTTGATGTTCTCTTAGACCCAGTCCCATTTCACCCCTCGCCCGTACCACTGAGCCCTTAGCCCTCTGTTTTGTGTGTTCACGTCTAGGGGTAGGGTGTCCCGATTCTTGTTGAGATAGAGGGGGAGGGCGAAGTGTTGGGGCTACATGATCCTCCAAACGGAGGTTTTTCAGAGACTCCAAACAGAGAGTTATGAGAAAAAAAGAAAACGGCAAGATGGAGAACAAGAGACCAAAGAAACCCACAAATGTGAGAATTTTCTCTGTTACAAAATTACAGTATTCACTGTTTTATCTTAGATTAATGTCATTTCAGTGTATTATGGTTGTTTTCTTCGTAACAACCATTAAAAATCGCTAATAGCATGCTAATGTCTCGGTAGCTAGCTAGCTAACTTTCCCGTTCCACCTTAAATAGTCCAGCAGTTCTGACACCTGAAGTGCCAGAATGTAACTGCTGCACCATTTAAGGTGGAACGGGAAAATTTGAACAAGAAGCTGGTGAATATCTGACTTCAGCTTCATATCACTGAAGAATTAACGGTGGGTGATAATAAATAATTGCCCCCCTCTTTGAAGGCATATGATGCCCTAAACATAACTAAAGCCCAGCAGTGAGGAGCTGAACTTTACCCTCCTCTGCTATCACTGCACACGGGTCGGGTCGCCTACATAAAGTAATGTTGATTTTTTTTTTATTTGAGGATCCCATTTCGTAGGGCAAAATATCAACCACTACCCCTTGTAACTCAGTTCCAAGTGACTCTCAAAAATAAGGGGTAGAGGTAAAAAGAAGAAATGGGACTAGGCCTTCATTTCCGTTGCTACAAAGAGATGGACTTCACTGATATGGCTCAGAGCAGGACTGTGAGTCTGCCAGAAGGGCAACAAAACTCCAAAGAGCAACACAGACTTTCCACTAGCCAGAACCTTCTTTGATTTTCCACAAAGCTATTAGGAGAAAAAAACAACAAAGTCTAGAGAAACTGTCTCTGACAACAAGCTTTGTTCTGCAGTGACATTCCAAAGGGTACTATTTTTCAGTTCCATCAGGGTGATATTAAGCTGTAACTTTACCAATTATGAGGTCTGTCTTGGTGTTTCGTCTAGAGGAACTGCCCAGCAGATCCTGAATCTGATAAGCTGCCTGATCGAACAGGTCCAAGTAGTCTTTCAGTGGATATGGGTTATGGAAACCCTCACTCAACCTGATAATACCTGAGAGAGAGAAAAGAATCTTCAAAGTAAGTCAAGTGGTAAAATGATGGCGGCTCCTTCTCTGCTGGATTGCATCATTTTAGCAAAAATGAAGGGATTAACGATGACATTCATTCCCCAAGACAGCAGCACAGCTCTTCTGCAATGATGATTTTATTGCACTCTAACTACTAACACCTCAACCAACAGACTTTAAGGCCTTAAACTTACCAAACCTCTTCCTTGTCCACCAATGTGGCTCCTTCATGGTGGTGAACTGGACCTGTGGGTGCAGCCGAAGCCGATCGTAGAGATCTGTGGTGCCACACTTGGGCTGCCCTATGATGTAGAAGTAGGGTAGGCAGCGGAGACGGTAGAGTCTGCCTGCCTCATGGTGGAGATGCTCATGAAAAGCACTGCGTAGGTGGTCGTATACAATCTGGAAGCGTTTGGAGTAAAGGGCGTACAAGTTCTGCCCATATGGGTCTACTGAGCTGTTCCCAGTGTATTCCTCATACCAGCAGGGGTTCTTGAGGTAGGGAAGGAATTTACGAGGGATTGCAGAGAAAATCTGTGAAAGAAATACATTTTGGCTTTAAACCGATGTCCAATACCATAATGAGTAACATATCATAATGCATTGTACCTTAACAGTTAAATCATTCAAATCTAGCTGATTTTAAATGACATGCCTTAGCTACCTATGCTACATTAGATACCTTGGACTGAATGGTGTTGCAGTGGAAAAGAGTGGGGTTTGTTCAAAGCCAGAAAAGCACTTCTGTACAGCTGTAAATAAAGTATGTTTCATAGTTTTGATCCCCGCTCAGTAGGACAGTGACAGCAGGAATCACATCCAAAGCAAATCCAAAGTGCTCACTTGTTGCGTTTTAAATCTTGGAGTCTTTGGATTGGCTAATTGAGCTGTAGTTGAATGTCCTCTATAGAAAGGCACACAGTGTGTGATTTTAGAAATCTTGTTTCTTGGTGACTCATATTGTACGTTTGAATAGGCTGCGATTTATACACCAATCAGACATAACATTCTGACCATCTCCTTGTTTCTACGCTCATCGTCCATTTTATCAGCTCCACTTACTATATAGGTGCACTTTGTAGTTCTACAGTTACAGACTGTAGTCCATCTGTTTCTCTGATACTTTGTCAGCCCCCTTTTGCCCTGTTCTTCAGTGGTCAGGACCTCCATGGACCCTCACAGAGCAGGTACTATTTGGGTGGTGGATCATTCTCAGCACTGCAGTAACACTGATGTGGTGGTGGCGTGTTAGTGTGTGTTGTGCTGGTACGAGTGGATCAGACACAGCAGTACTGGTGGAGTTTTTAAACACTGTCCACTCTATTAGACACTCCTACCTTGTCAGTCCACCTTGTAGATGTAAAGTCAGAGACAATAGCTCATCTGCTGCTGCACAGTTTGTGTTGGTTATCCTTTAGTCCCTCATCAGTGGTCACAGGACGCTGTTGGCTGGATATTTTTGGTTGGTGGACTATTCTCAGTCCAGCAGTGACACGGAGGTGTTTAAAAACTCCAGCAGGACTGCCGTGTCTGATCCACTCAGACCAGCACAACACACACTAACACACCACCACCACGTCAGTGTTACTGCAGTGCTGAGAATGATCCACCACCCAAATAGTACCTGCTCTGTGAGGGTCCATGGAGGTCCTGACCACTGAAGAACAGGGCAAAAGGGGGCTGACAAAGTATCAGAGAAACAGATGGACTACAGTCTGTAACTGTAGAACTACAAAGTGCACCTATATAGTAAGTGGAGCTGATAAAATGGACAAAGAGCGTAGAAACAAGGAGGTGGTCATAATGTCCAAGTACCATTTACAAAGAAGCATCCCCATATCATGATGCTCCCACCTTCATACTTCACTGTGGATTTGGTGTTCTTGGGATTATATGCGCAACCCCTCTTTTTCCAAACATGACAAGATGAATTATTAACAAAGAGCTCTATTTTTGTCTCTTTTGACCACAGTACACTGTTGCAAAAAAGATTTAATTTGTCTATACAAATTTTAGATGCGTATCTCTGGGGAGTTTTGCATTGGGTGTAGGAATGGAGACGACTGCGGTTTCTCTGTGCAACTGTTGTTCCTGCTGCTTTCAGGTTGCCCTGTAACCCTTCTGAAGTCACTGCTGGCTTCTCCCTTACCTTCCTCATCATTAATCTGAGAGAAATCTTGCATGGTGTAAGGGCTAGCTCCAGGGCTGCGGCGCCCCCAGCCAACACAGGGAGACACCACGCACCTCCCAGGTCAAATCAAGCCCAACGTCCTACACCTGGGCAGAGGGCTTCATAAGCGCGGAGAAAGAGACACACATTGATGTGTATTTGTCTCATCTTGAGTCAACAGAGACGGCCTGTAATTTGGGTAAGAGGGCTGAGCGTTTTGCACCCCCCCCAACTTTCTGAGTTTCTCCAGCCTCTTCTCGAGGTTCTTTCTCTGCTCTCCGTCTCTTTCAAAAGAAAAAAAAAGGAATCTTCCTCCCCTCTGTTCAGATTTGGTTTTGTTTCTGTTGGCAAAGTCATTTGTCTCTTTTAGTTACTCTTTTAGTTTCTCTCTCGATTTCTGAGAAAGCCAGTTTTCCCCTGGCGTCCTTTGTTCTCTTTTCCCGCCTGACAGAAATGGGTGGGTTCATAATTCAGATTGCTGTTCCCACTTTCAGGTATTTCCATACAAGGGCACTCTTTTCAGCAGCCTTCACCACGGCTTCAGTGGTGAAGTGATAGAGCGCTCGCCCAGTATCAATAGGGCCTGGGTTTGATCCCTGGGCTCGTCACATGGTTACATTTTTGAGTTTAGCTCATCCTTCCGTTGTATATATGCTTGGCGCTTGGGTCCTGTCTACCTACAACCTGTGGTGGTTCACCTGGTAGGCCCTGGGATATAAAGACAGCCTGGATTCACATCCTCTGTCTGGTGAGCCTCCCACCGTTATACATGGTGCACCAGTCCAAGAGCTTCCATAAAATTTCCAATTGCATATCATTAAACTAGTTATACTGCAAGGAATGATTAGGGTTGTACTTGAGTTAATAATGTTATCCTTAAAAACTTTAGGATGCTTCCTCATCTTCAACAAGACTGCTAGTTATGACGTAAAATATTCTCATCCAATTGCAATTTCTTTTAGAATAAAATTAGTTGCAATTTGAATGAGAACATTTTTTTAAAATCAGAACCTGATTTATTTTTATTTTTAAATTTTACAAATGTGTGTTTTAGGTGTCTGAACATGTTCCCATTGTTTCTTTGTTTAGATTTATGAACACATTCTTTTTTTTGTTCATATTTTTACAAAGTCAAGACATTATGTGTGTAAATATGAAGTGGATATATGCACTTGATGTATATTAAACAACAGAAAAGGGTCTAAATCTTGGCCTCCTCACTGTATTTCTTCCTTCAGCTTTTCCAAATCGTACTGGATTTACTATCACTTCAGTGACTGAACTGTATAGACTTACGAGAGGTTCTCTCTCCCTCAGCTCCATTAAATCCGGCACTTTTCTTTGATGGAACTCCACTTTGGCCACAATGTTCCTCACCACCTCCTTCACGCCAGCATAGTCTCTCCCTGAGGACAGGTTAGATGACTGGGACATTACCCTGAAGTGATACGGCGAAGGTGTAAGTAGCAGCCCTTTCTGGTCTCTCGTCAGGACATAGGAAGCCATGATGAGGAATGTGGCTACAAGACAGAACAAGAAGCTGAAGACCTTGACCTTGCGTAAGGACCCAAGGTTCCAGGGTCCGCATGGCTGGCACAGACCCCTGCTGTCTTCCACTGTGGTCAGTAGGCTCAACCATCCGTCACCGAGGACGGATTTACTTTTGTAGTCTTCTACCTCATCCACAGCATCTGTAAGGAGGCCATATTTGTAGTCCATTGTGGTCTCTCCTTATGGCTACCATATGCTTTCTGATCACCAAGAAGCTTCCATTGAGCTTTAAATTGTGGAAAAAAGGACTAATCCAATCCAGGGTACTCCTGGAAAAAGTACCAGAAAATTACACTCCCACTGATATTAGCTCATTGCTCTTTCAGCAGGGGTCGGCCCTGCAGCCTTTAAGCCATTGTTTGTGATGGGATGTCTGTGGCTAGTGGAGAGGCTTTAAGGAATGAGTGGGCAGGTTGGTGACGGCGAATTCTCCTCAGAACTCAGAAGAATCCCACTTTGTGTGGCATTGCTCCACACACACACGCCAGATGTTGTTGGTTGAGGTCACGCTCGCGGCAGCTCTGATGACAGCGCAGCGTGATCCTGTAATACAGAGAGAGGGCATTACTGTAAACCAAGCTATAAATACATCACGTAGGCTTTTAATACGTGACTATTGATTTGACCAACGTCTCGTCTGGGTTTCTCAGTCAATGGAGCATCGCTACTGCTCAGATTCCTGCATCTGTCTCACTTGCACAGTATGGAGACATTGGTTTGATGGTTATTTAAATAGGAGATATTACCACTACAGTAATACTGCAGAATACAACTAAAACAGAAAAAACTCCACCAATGCACTAAAACCATCTGTGGCTAGTTTTTGAAATCACCAAAAAAAAAAAAAACAGTGTAATTAACAATAACGGAATTAATTGCCTTGGATGAACAACAGTTCTCTGTCGTCAAGGATGCAGGATTTTGCGGCATAATGAAGCCTATATGCTATAATATTTTTCATTTATGCAAACTGTTTTGATTTACTGTTTTTTACAGTTTGTTTCTTCCGTTGTTTTAGCCCAGTGCGTCCTGATTTTGGGTTTAGACCAAGAATTTTCATTTCGGTGCAACATTAATCCAAATCTACTCATAATATTAGAATAACACAAATTTTTGTGATGAGTACTGGAAATAAAAGCTAACAGAAACCAACAAAGCCTCTAAGAACAGTGGAGGGTGGGGTGCAACCTAACATGGGGCACAAATGAACACAGACTTTTTACATTGTTATACAAGGTCAAGCAGCGTGTGCGTCTGGCCACATTACCACATCTCCTGGGTAAATTGAAAATTCAGAGCGATTCGTCAGCATTTTAAAGAGATCTGTGAGTGTTTTCAGAGCATGTAAGTCATTTTTTCAACACTTTTTTTAAAGTTACTGAGCTGTTTGTGTAAATCACAGAATCCAACCTTATATTACTGTACTCACCATCTTGCTGCCTATAGCACAGCACCATTAAAGCAGGTGACAAGCTTATAGCATGTGCTAGATAGGCTTAGGTAGATCCTCCGTACTGGGGGGTTAGTTGTAACACAGCGTTACAATTAAACCACCTTTAGTAAACAAAGACAAATAAAGTAAAAGTTGTCTTTTTGTTCTATATGTTCTCACAGATGCTAAAATGGAAAAGAGAACATGTTTAAAAACAGAGATTTTCTTCTTCTTTATTAGCATCTTTCAGATGTTAATATTTTGGTTTTATATTAATGACATTGACATTAACAGCTGGTAAAACTAGTTATTCAGAAACAATGTTCCATATTTTACTGATGTGTGATGTTTTTATTTGCTGTCCTTCACTGGACAAAAATAAATCTGTCATGAGTTTGACACACAGTTTATATCAGTGTTCATATATAATTTGACGTGTGTATCTATCAATTGATCTGTGTGTCTGTCTTATAGATAATATATAATGCAGTATGGCTGGAAAATATCTTTGTTTCTTAAAACGTAGAATTATTTTAAATTTTAAACTTTGCAGCAATTCGTCAGACTTTTCTGGCAAGAGTTACAACTGACCCTCTGTCTGTTACAATTAACCCCACCCATGTGGTTTAGTGTAACATTGCGCTTCCCTTCATTTTCAGTGGAATTGTACACGAACAGAAGGAGCTAGAAACAAAGTTCAAGTGTTTGTTAGTAGCAGGGATGAATATGTTACTTGTATAAAAATATGATTATTCCAAATTAAATATTCAATTAAATTTAAATTAAATAAGTTCTTCAACAAAAACCAAAATGTGTGAGGTTGCGCCCTGCTGTCCCCACCACTACCTGCACTACAAAAGGTATTATTAATGCACACAGTCGAGTCATGTTATTATGACCACCAGCTAATATCCAGAGTAACCGCCGTGTGCAGCATGGACAGCAGCTAGACGGTCTCAATAAGGTCCTGGTTGGTGGTCACAGGTATCTGGAGCCAGGCTGACTGCAGTGCATCCCACAGCTCCTGGAGGGGGCGTGGGGGAGGATCCATAGAGCGAACACGGCGATCGAGGTGGTCCCACAGATGCTCAGTTGGGTTCAAGTCTGGGGAATTAGGGGGCCAGGGTAGCACTTGGAGGTCTTGGTCATGCTCTTCCAATCAGTGTCGGGTATTTCTAGCCATGTGACGTGTCGCACTGTCCTGCTGGAAGATCCCATTGACCCCAGGGAGGACAATCAGCGTGTGTGGGTGTACGTGATCTGCAAGGATGGATACTCAAATCGGTTAAGAGTGCCTTCCACACCCACCAAGCCAGTTCACGACACTGACTTCCTTAATGAGCTACGCGCTGCCGCCGTCAGAAGTAGGAAGTGGTCATAATAATGTGGCTCGACTGTGTATGACCTTATTATGATTTATGACAGTTTAAGAAATGTGACAATCACATCAGTCAATATTACACAGTTTAAAACTACTGGGGTCTTGAATATAAAATGATATTATGATATGATGAGTTATCAGAGCTTTTATCAGAGCTTAAAAAGTGGTGCTGGTTAGAAAAACTTCATATCAGTGAGGCCAGAGTAGGCAGTGATGTGAGCAGTGATGTGTGTGTGTGGGGCATGTGTGGGCATGTGTTTTGAGAGCTGTTAACAGGAGTTATCTATTATGAAATGACAGCCTCAGGATATGCCTAATTAAGAAGAGAGGAGACCAGCTGCTAGCTACCAGATACTGTTTCATTCCATCTCCCTGATTCTCTCTCTTTCTCACTCACTCATTCTTTCAGTGGAAGTCATCCACACACAACTCAGATAACATAAAAACGGGCCATCATGTTACTAAGGGTGGGCAATATGATGATATTTTATCATAATCGCAATAAATGAAGTCACAATATGCCTTTCTGAGTATGTGACGGGTATCATCAGCATTGCTAGAACACTGGACAACTTCACAAAGAAACAGAGATTTAGGCTACGTTCACATTACGAGCCTCGTTGCTCAAATCCGATTTTTGCTCAAATCTGATCTCTCTGACATGATGGTTCACACTCGTTTAGGTAAGTGATTCAAATCTGTCATTAATGTGAACCGGCGTCCTGAAATGACCCTCATGAGCGCATCCTACTCAGTAACGTCACGTGAATGAATCACGTGCATCATCAGCACAAACTAACGAGCAGAACGAGCTTCGCTGAGAAGATAATTAACTCTGATCAGCTCTCAGCTTCATTATTAGAGCGAGAAGAAGGAGAAAAAGGTGAGATGAGCTGCTTTTCCACCGTTTACAGGCTTTAACTTCTGTTCGGCGCTGTTGCCATGGTAACGCTGAATGATGGCGCACGCGCAGTGGAAAAAAAGCACATGAATTCCGATCTGAGCATCAAATTAAGGCCACATGGCCATAAATCTGATACGTATTCGATCTAGGACCATGTATGAAAGTGGCTCAGGTCGGCTTTGAAAAGATCAGATTTGCGTCCACACAGCTCTGAAAACATCAGATCTGAGTCACATTAGGGTAAAAAATCTGATTTGTGCCACTTCAGCCTGGTAATGTGAACGTAGCCTTAGGCTTATTATACAGAGCCAGTAAACAATAACAACCAAGTGTGTCAAGCTGTCAAATTAAATTAAAGCAGCATAGTGTCTGATTGGACGTCAGACACTGTCTTAATTTTTACCAATGTGGAACTACAGTTCTGATATCAAACCTTGGAAAAGCTAAGTTTGTGAAATCAAAACAAGCTTCCTTGCCGAAAAAAGGGTTTTAGGTGATGAATGATCATTTCTATGGCTACTTTTACATACATACATACAAACATACATACATATATACATACATACAAACATACGCATGTATCCTTATATTTTTTTAATCATTTCTAATTGTGTATTCTAATCATGATGGTGTTTTACTGATCTGCTGCCAATTAACCACTTTTTATATACATTTTGCACAACATCCCAACTTTTTTGGAAATAGGGTTGTACACATCACACTGGGAACAAGAACAATCATCGTGTTTAAGACTAGTAGTTAAAGGCTCTGAGCTGCGTACGTGTGTGTAACTGGCTGTTTAGTCAAATAGTTCATAATAACAATAATAATAATAATAATAATTTTATTTATATAGCACTTTCATGCCGGTGGCAGCTCAAAGTGCTTTACAGACAGGTGATAAAACATAGTTATAGAGATCATTAGTACTCAATTAGAATCAGAAGAAAATGAAGAAGATTAAATTACAAGATAAAAACCACGAGACATTCAGTTTCAGTTAAATGCTAATTTAAAGAGAGACGTTTTTAGGTGCTTCTTCTTAAAAGTGAGCACTGAGCTTGACTGTCTAATAAAAGGTGGAATTGAGTTCCACAGTTTAGAAGCAGAATAACTGAAAGAGCCTCTCCATGTTTTCTGTATTGTACAGAGGGTCTCTGTAGAAGGTCAGTATCTGCAGATCTTAGATTGCATGCTGGAACATTAACAGACAGACACTCTGTGATGTAAGCAGGTGCTAGGTTGCTTTGAGCTTTAAAGACTAGCAGCAGAACTTTAAACTCTATCCTGAATGATACAGGCAGCCAGTGCAGCTCTTTCAAAACGGGAGTGATGTGATCTCTCCTTTTTGTTTTTGTTAGGATGCGCACTGCTGCACTTTGCACAAGTTGTAAGGGATGTGTAGTTAAGTCGGCATGGGAGAGCAGGGCTCAAGTCCAGTGCAGCCTAGCGCGCTTTGGGTTTTTAACACATCGTTCCCACCAATGTGAGATAACTTGAGCCATTCTGTCATCGTAGCTCTAACAATGTGTTCACTGCAGAAATTCAACAGAAATACTGAACACTCAAAGAACCCTTTGCATGATAAAGCGTTTGTCAGAATGTGCTTTAGATGGTTCTATAGAGAACCTTTTTAAAAAGGGTTCTATATAGCACCCAAAAGGGTTCTTCTATTGTTACAATGTTAAGCTTGTTGCAATAGAACCCTTTTGGGTACTATAAAGAACCCCTTTCCCTAAGCTTCTATATAGAACCATCTACAGCTCATTTTCCATACACCTGAAGAACACTTTAATGATACAAAGGGTTCTTTGACTGTTCATGGT